AAAACAAATAGAAACTGAATTTAGAATAGGTTAAGTTAGATGCATAAGGTAAAAAATCACATTTTAACCAGAATGGATCCACTCCAAATTATTAGGGCCTTGAATTGAATGTATTACCAAAAATGAATCGTACTCGAAGATTAAAAAATGGAATATTATCATTTAAATAATTATTCTATAAATATTGCAATTCAGTTACTCACTTCCTCAAACGTGTTAAATTACAGAATTGTGAAGTAAATGCTAGGCTATGATTTTTTTTGTAACACGTGAAAGTATTCTGGTAAAAAATATATTTAAAAAAGTGCTATATCAATAAAATAATTTCGTATACTTTGTATAAACGAATAAAGAAGCTTCAACCTTTAATAACATAGTTTATAAGTCAGTTGTTTTAAACGATCTTTTTTTAAGATTGATAAAAGAGGTCTGAGTTGAATGATTTGATACTATCAAACCACGAGAAAAATGAAAAGAAAAGAAAAGAAGAAATTATCTATATATTTACATAAAAACCATGTTTTTAAGATAATTTTTATAGAAATTAGTAAAGATAATTTGTGACATGTTACAGTTTGTAACATTGTCACACCATTAACAAGTAATATACACATATTTCATTATATCTATGAATGTAAGGTATATGAAAATATTCTCCAATATGGAACGAGTTTTCTACAGTTTTCTGAGCGCCACAATTTCACAAAATATTTCCAGAAAGCTAACACATTTGTCGGTATAGCTTGGATCCTTATACACTACATTTTTACATTGATAACAAGACAAAGAAATAAATTGAATTGATTTTATAAATGCCAACGTTGTTCTTATAGCAGTCTCAACATGTTAACACACTGTCTATTATGAGCGGTAAGTCTCAACATGAGCAAAACTTTACTCATTGATATAAGAGATTTTACGTCGGATTTGGAATCCGCCATATAGACAAATCTCCAATCACGTCAGGTATTTTAACAAGCTGACACATTACTTCTATACTGGTCTGCTGGATAATTAGAATAATCAAGATATAGTGAACCAATATATGCAACGAAACTTCATTTATAACTACATATGTGATGTAATGCATTAATATTAGAGTCCATCATTTAATCCAATCTGGATGTAGTAAACTAATATATACAGCGAAACTTCACTCATATGTATATGAGGTTTTACGTCGGAATTTGAATCCACCATATAATTAAGTCTCCAATGAAAACCAAAACAAAAATCTGGTAACCCCGTAAATTGTTGATGATCCTTAAATTAAACTGATTTAATATGTTTGTGTATGATTTATCTTAAAAAAAACAGATGTCGCCGCATTTTTGGATCAAGGTAAGTAAACACTACTACTTTTACAAAACACTTTTCTAATTTGTTTACAATAAATGTAGAGTTATATCATGTTTTAAACGATATATAGTAAGAAAATATCATATACATATATATGAATATTCGTATATAACTTGAACATATATTTAATATAGCAAGGTCAAGATTCAAATAGGATCGTTGCGCTATTAATTATGTAGATGATGATGTGTTTAATAGATCTTACATATCTCTCTTAAAGTGAGTCTAGAAAGCTTAACACTTCTATAACACGTATAAGATTTAATATTTTAAACATTTCCAGGAAAGGCCATCAAGTTTTGAAAATTATCGGAGACTAAATATGAATGCATTATAAATTTATATATAAAAATAATTGATTTATTAAACTATTTGTTTAATTTAAATTAGGAAATGTAATTAATCCAACTATTTTATTCATAAAGAAAGGTTTATGGGAATGGTTTATGAGGTTTTATGTGTGGACATAGACATACTTATAGCTAATAAAAATTCCGATACTTACTGGTATTTTTCCGTTAACGTTACCTGTACTCTGCGTTATATATTATATTATTTATATATTAAATTGTATATATATATTAAATTGTATATATATATTAAATTATTATTCAGTTTTGCTGTTAATATTTATATTTTGTAAAACAAAAACAACAACAGTTTTTTTTAAAACTAAAGAATGATTAAACGTGTTTCTAATCCTAAAAACTATGCAAATTAGATAAATATCCGGATATTTTTAACAAACTTAAGAATTTGCTTTTAACAAACAAGAATTTACTTGCGCATTAAACAACATTCTTAATTAAATAAATTCTTGTTATATGTCACCAAACAAATCACACATAGAATAACATCGTCAACAACGGAATAAAGCCTAAAAATATATATATTATATATCAACGCTAACATAAAAAAACACACCGAATTTTTACAAGTTATAGAATAAATTTGCATTTTAGGGCAGTTGTTGCTAGTACCAGGAATTCACATTAGAGGGATTCTACACCTAAAGGCAGTTATTTCTATATAAATGCATTTATTTTGAAATAATAAAAGTAGAGGAGTGTAAAGTTTTAACGATCTACTTGCTTCTACGTTTGACGCCAAGTGCTGAAAAACTGATTTTAAAGTATAGACAGAAGAGGTTAGAATTCTAGTCGGATGTGTGACTGTCAGAGTATTTAGTTATAGCAGTATTACCTCTATACCGAATTAGCTATTCTAGTTTAGTTTTTGGGATATCTGGATTTTAATTTGAATATTTTCACGTGGATCCACCAACAATAAGGATGCGTCATATTTTTTTTTTAGCTGTAGGTTAAAAGGTTTGAAAGCCACAGTGTGAGACATATCTTACAATATTAGGAGGGAGATTGTGCGAGTACTTATTCAATCTTTCCACCTTAAATGCCTCTATTATAGAGGCCATTGTACTTGTATTTGTAGTTGATACTGTCGCGAAGAACTTTCCTCTCAATAATACGGAAGCGTTCTATTGTGCTAAGTTTATTTTCTACCAAATTCCGAACACGTTCGCTAAAGATCTCCTCATAGTAGAACATCTTAGTTTTTACTTCGACTAGATTACGCGTACCCAAAGGATTCTTCTGTTGAATATATTAAAAAATGGCATTCTGAACATTCTGAGGAATATGAGGAATAAAATTGTGTCTAGAAGTGACTCCTTATTAGCAAACTTGATGGATTTGTCATTTAAACACAATTTTATATTAGAATCTTTGAGTCTTCTAGTATGGTCATGCTGTATTCCGATGAAGGCTATCGCTGTTTTTTTTTTGAGGGTTGTGCTTAATTTTATGAAAAGTGTAGATTTGGAAATAGCACTCAGATGTCTGTAAAATCTAGTATTACTTGATGGTGTGTATTACTTGATGTGATGTAATCTTAAGCTATATAAGTAAACTATATTGGCATATTCTATTGTTTTGGAAAAAATTTCTTAAAATATTGACATATACTCAAAAATCCGTTGTCAAAGGGGTGTACCCGGTAAATCGGAACTACACCCAGATGACAGACGTATACAACCTACGCCCAGATTACTAATATGGATGTTAGATTCAATATAAATTGGTTGCTATTGCTCATAAAAATATTGCTGAATCAAGAAGTGCTAAAATATTTTTCTTATTTAAACATTTATTATTTACTAAAATGGTATAAAATAACAATTTTGCTTTAAAATTCATATATAATTTTTTTTTTATAATTGTATAAACATTTTAGAAATACATACATAAAATAGATGTGTGTGAAATCGTTTAGTATATCAAAAGAGTGGTTCTGGTTTTAATATTTAACCACAAACCACATTACTGAAATGCAATGTTTACTTTACTTATCACAAAATACAATTAGATTTTTCTTATCGACATGAAATCTTATCAAAATTATAATTAAATATTTATTTTACAAAAGTGATAATTAAAAAACAACTTAACCAATAGAAAAAATAAAATTTTATATGTAACGTAAAAATAATTTATATGAATTAACTGAATAAAATAGTTTGTTTTTTAAATGTAATTTGTTATATTGTTGGCAACTTTTTTTTGTTCATAGTTGAGTTATAAAATTCTTTAGATTAACTAATTTAAAAACTTTTTTTACTGAATATACATTGTTTCAAAATTAAATTTAATATTTATTTGATTAAATGATTTACAATACTTTAATATAGTTTCTTCTATAGAGTATTTAATACCCTTATCATGAGCTTATATTATTATTGTTTAATACAAGGTTTTGTTCGGTTAATTTTAATATTTGTTACATGCTTGAATAATTTTATTATACTAGATATTTATATGGAATATTAAATAATATTTTATATTTTTAATTGCTATCATATAGCAATGAAAGAAAGTCCACAAAAATATTTAATATTTAAAACTATTTTACAGTTCTTTTAATTTTTGAGTTATACTCTAATTAATTTAAAATCAATTACAATTTTTTTTTATATTAGTATTTTTTTTAATCTTTACATATAACCATAATATTTATAATATACATATAAACATAACAAAAATACAACAAAGTAAGGAAATTTGCCAATAAATTTAAAATAAAAAATATCCTTGCATTAAATATGAATTTTTAAGTTATCTAAAATGAAAATAATTTTAATTAAAATATATATAATATAATCTTTACATATAAACATAATAAAGTAAGGAAATCTGCCAATAAATTTTAAATAAAAATATTCTTGGATTAAATATGAAGCGTTTGTGTAATAATAAAATAGATCTTAAGCAGAAGCTTTATTGTTAGTATAGGACTAACTGATTTCTTCTTCCAAAATGTGTGTTTGGTCTGCTATATATACATATTATGTATGTATATACATTTATATAACTTAAATGTCACATAAACTTAAGCTAATTAAGCAACTAAATACAATATTATTTAAACAAAACTAATAGCACTTGTAGGATTGATACACTAGCACCAGTGTTTAACAATTTGTCTTTTTAAGTTATCTAAGCTTAATAGAATTTATAGGCTTTTGTGATTTTTTGATAATATGTTAGAGATAAAAATGTTAAAGATAACATGTTAAAGCGTACATTTTAATTAAATATAACTTAAAAATATGTTAGTAAAAATAAAAACTTAAGACCCACTAATTTGTTAAAAATATATATAAAAATATAAAAATCTAAAGCTCATCTCTATATTGATTCGTATTTTGTTTCAAAATATAACTATTGCGATATAGATAAACTTATTTAAAATTGTTACACGTAATTCATATACTCCTTTTCCGACCTTTGGGTTTATCTAACATATACCTATAACATATGTGTTATAGCAGCACAAAATTATTTTTTTGGACATCTAATCAGCATGCTCAGCACGTGGTGAACGTGAACGACGACGTCGTTTTATAGTTTGAAATGCATTACTCATGCCAGCTATGCTCGTCACACCACGTAAACCAGTGTTTTGAACATAGATCAATAAATAAGTTTCATTACATTTCAATTCAATATCATCTGAGAAATCGATACGCACTAATTCATCATTAGCTTCTCTTTGCCGACGTAAACGTTGTCGATTACGATGATGATGACGTCCTCTTCTATGTGTGGATGGTGTATCAAAATATGTATCCACCTCAGTTGAGTCTGATGATGGCGGTGTTTCTGCTTGATTCACATATTCATATGCTATATATTCAGTAAGGCTCGCATAATTTACACGATAGATACCAATCCAATCATGATCACGTTCCTCAAAATCGTTTGGTTTTTTATATTCAACAGTATATTCTTCACCAATTTCCCAAATTGGTATATCAGTAAATTCCACACAAGGTGCACGATAATTTGGATACAATTTAAGTAAAAATTCACTGGTAACTGGTTTGTGGTCACTCATTGTATAACCAGGAAATGATTTATAAGAACGTTGTTCGATAGAGAGTGGCATATTGGGTTGTCGATTCAATGGTTGTACTGCATAAAGTATACGATCTGTCCAAGCTGGTCTTCGTTTGGGATCATAATCGGATGTGCCTTCTTTAAATTTAAATGTAGGTGGAAATTCTGGTGTACGTTCATGCATTAATTGAAAAGCCTGCTGACTTACTTCTCTAATATCTAACAATTGATCACGTTTTAAAAGTTCGGCTGTTTTTTCTTTACGTACAGCTTCTATAACCTCTTCTGAGCTATCTTCGCCCTTTAAACGAAAGTTCAGATCTCCAAACCAAAACACATAATCATGATCAAATATTTCACGATAACGTGTAACATGATAATGATGATTTTCCAAAATTTGTTTATAATCCTCAATGCGTTCATCCAAATGTTGGTCATGTGCAGCTAAATGTGCTGCAACAAATGTCATACCACAGCCATAAAGTGTGAAACGTATGCTTACGGCACCTTTATTGCCCCATATACCACCGAAGCCAGTACGTGTAAATTCCGCTTCTATATCGCGCAAATGTGGCACATGTATACGTTTAACAAACATTGAGAGTAGCAAGCCCTGCATTTGTTCCGTTTTTATTAGAACGTAATTATATTCACGCAGCGCATCTTTTGTTTTTTGTGACCATGGATCTTCTTTAAATAGACCCAACACCTGTTGTTGTGGTTGCGAGTTAACTTCTTGCAAGCCAACAGCATAAATATCTGGTAGAGTTGTTGCATCAGCAATGGATTGCAGACCTAAAAGATTGCGTAACGATATATTGTCTGGAAATTTACTGCCCACATTCCAGGTTACTACAAAAACTGTGTAATCGTTCAATTGCTGCAACTTTGATTGTTCTTTCTCACTTGTCATTATTTTGGCTTTAATTATTGTTTAATTAATGTATTAACTACAATATTTATTGTATGTATTTTTAATAATAATTATAAAGATAAAATATTTCAACTTTGCACTCGAAAAATTAACTTTTGAAACAATTTTTGCCTAATTTAAAAAAAAAAAAAAGTTACACACTTTAATTAAATAGCGCGTATTATATGCAGCAACTTAAGCAACACTTTATGCATAAATAATTAAACAACAATAAGAGCTGAGTGAGAAAATATATTAATATAAAACCTGAGCTCATATCAAATGCGCTCATCATTTATTTATTTATATCAAGGCCGTAGCTGCCAGCAAAACAGCTGTTTTTGTTATGACTACCAGTGGAACTTAACGTAAATTGGAGTGAAAATATTAAAACTCATTATTATATATGAAATGTATTCTGATATAAATGAAATTGTATTTTTAATTAATTAAAATTTCATTTCAATAATGTAAATTATTATTATTTTAATATTTTACTATTGTTTTAATAATTTTTAACCTCAACAATATGTTTAATAATTTGGAACCTAATTTGAAATAATATCAACAACAAATTCCACAGATTTTGCACTGAACATACGCCACCATTCCACCGCGTGCAAGTTACAATGCTTTACATATCTATATGTTTGTTGTCATTTTTGTGTTTTTAGTATCAGCTCTAGTGAGTTTGTTAATAAGTTAATTTTATTATTGTGTTTTGCAAATTTTATCAATATTTTTCAATCATTACCAGAGATTTAAAATATTTTTAAATAGCTTACATTACTTTAATAATCAAAACTTACAGCTTCGAAATAATTGAAAAAGTTTTATATAATAAATAAATTTATAAACTACACAAAATAACTTTTATATAAACAGAAGTAAGTACTATGAAGTGACGGAAATAATATTATTTATAACATAATTAATATATCCCTTTAGTTCTGCGTAATCCGCAAGTGGTATTTTCCGGCGACTTTAGTCTAAAATTAAGAATGGGGTGGTAACAAAGCTGCTACGACAACTACATTTTCGGTAATTGCACAGTTTATATTAATATAAAAAACCTAAAAATATTCACTGTCTAAACTTTTTCTTATTGTTAGAAATCAGAAAATGTTATAAAATTGTTCATAGTGGTTAATATTTTGTTACTACAGGTAAAGCAAAGATAAATTAATTATTTTTGAATTTCTAATAAAAAGCATTTTATTTTTGCAGATATTTTCATATACACACACATGAATTCCAAAATTATAACTCGTCTACTTAGTTCAATAAAGACTGTCAGTAAAATAAATTATTTTCGGCATTTAAAAGCCGCGCATCGTAAGGCTTTCAGTGATAAATTTTTATTGCTTACAAATGTTGGCATATCATTGTCCTTAAGCTCTACTGGTGATATCATTGAGCAACAATATGAATATCTCTGTGGTGACATTAAATGTTATAGCTTACAACGCACTTCCCACATGGCAACATCTGGTGTAACTGTTGGAGTTATTTGTCATTATTGGTATAAGTTCCTGGATAAACGAATGCCTGGTAGGACGTTGAAGGTTGTCATGCAGAAAATTGTACTCGATCAATTTATATGTTCACCTGTATATATATCAGCATTCTTTATAACCCTTGGCATACTCGAAAGAAAGTCAAGTAAAGAGGTGTGGGAAGAAATGAAACAAAAAGCTTGGAAATTATATACAGCAGAATGGATTGTATGGCCAGTTGCACAATTTGTAAATTTTTATTGGTTACCTCTAAAATATCGCGTTTTTTATGATAATGTAATAAGTTTGGGCTATGATGTTTACACTTCCCAAGTAAAACACAATGATTAACTTCTATATATTGTATATTGTGTTGTATACAACTGTAATTAACTATATATTGACACAAATTTAAAAATCATATATATGAGTCTATATGTATATGCATAAAATTATGTAGTAGTGACTAAATTGTGATATATGATAATAAGCAAATTTTTTTCATACATAATTGGCAACTAAAATATTAAAATCAATATTTTTATTGTAAAATATGAAATAAATATTTTGGATTGTTTTTAATTTTATTTTTTATAAATCTTAGTAAGTCCTATTCAAAAATGCTGATATACAAGCAAATAATTCGACCGTCAATTCTATATGGTTGTGTAGCGCTTAGCAAGGCCTCAAACACTACTATTCGCCAGCTGGAAATTGGGCAAAGCTAGGCTCCTAAAAGACTTTTCAAAGTACCATGGTACATTAGAACGAATGACATCGTCAGGGACCTCCAGATTGATCCGATCAAAAAATACATAAAGGATAGAGCCCTGAAATTATTTTGGCAGGCTTACCAACAACACCACGTTATCGAATCTCAGAATAATTACAGGCTCCTCGGGGAGGTATGCAGATCTGAGGTCAGTTATTGCTTAGTCTGATGAAGTGATAAACAATAATTCTGTCAAGGCGTAGAGAGGGGTTGTGAAGAAACCTCGCAGTTAAAAGAGAGTTAAAGTGCTCAAGTGCACTGGCTCAACTAGCCTCAACATAATTGAGTTTATATTTTTGAAATGAACAACTGCATTGAGAGAATCAACTCAACCTTATTCTTGTTATTCCAGATAAATAACCTTAGTGACTCTAAGACGTAGACTCGGGCGCTCCTGAAGAGAAGCTTGACCATTTATTACTTTTCTTATGTATACTTTTAGCAATAAAAAAAAAATGGTTTCATTGTAAGCAAAGCATAATTTTCCTTTATTTTATAATAATGAAGTTCATATTTTACGGTTATGAATGTAATTATTGCTGTAGAAAGATGAAATTTAAAAATAATTTATACATTTAATCATGCATTACCTTTTAATTGAAAACATCATACATATTAGTTTAATTTTTTCGTCCTCCTCGTCTACGCATTGAAGTAGTGCATTTTGGACAGTACCATTTGCCTTTAGGTGGTTGAGTAATGCCAACGCATGGATAATGAAACCATTCATATGGACAAGCTTCATTATCACAAGCTACCATATCACCGTATGATACTTGATTACAAGTACAATAACGTGGTTCATTTGGATCATAAGTCCAATCACCATCTTGTATCTGATCGACACTTAAACCATTATCGGTTACAGGATTTGTATCCGTAACAATGGGAGTTGTAGCTGTTGCTGATGAAGCAACAGAACTGGCACGATTAGTATTATTAATTGCTGCATTCGCTAAACTTGGTGTTGTACTTGTTAAACTTAAACTTGGAATGTTGGTTGAATTCGCTGTAGCAGTAGCAGCAACAACAGCTACTGATGGTAATAAATCAACGGATGATGATGATGACGAGGACGAAGAAGCCAAAGAAATTGTTGACGGAGGTGCAGTATTGACACCTGCAGCGTTGGCAAATGCTTGGTTTGTGTTTATTTTTCTAAAAAAAAAATAAAGAAAAAACGGGATAATATAATTAACGTGTTCATTCGATAAACATACTTCTTTTGTTTCTTTTCAGTAGTGGTGGGTGTGGGTGAATTTTGTGTGGCCGTTGGGGCAGCACTTGCCATATCACGGCTAATCCAAAATTCTGTAGGCCCAGTGGCACCATTTATCGCTTCATAGCTTGCTTTCAAACTAGCCGTACGTCTACCTTGTTGCATTTGTTGTGTAGCTACAATAGCTTGACTTGCAGCTACAGCGATAGCATTGGAACCAGAATTACTTATTTGTTGTAAATTGTAACTAACATTTGCGGGACCTGGACTAGGTGATGCTACACCTCCTGCATTTATAACATTATGAGTATGAGCTGCAGGAGTTACGGGACGTACTACAGTAATTGGTGCTGCTGTCGGTATTATATTAGTATTTAGATTTGTACGTTTTTCTGGTATTGTAGGTAATGTGTTGCTATCACGTCGTTTCTCAGCTTTCGTTGTACGATAACGATTATCTTTTGTGGTGGTATTAGGTGTAGCTGGCAATGTTATACCACCTGAATGGCCCATCACACTATGATTATTGTGTGCAGACAGACTAGGCGAATTGTAGTAAAGATTTTCTTTTTGTAGTGCATTAAACATTGCAGCTGATGTATTTGAGAAACTGTCCATTTCTAAAGAACGTCTTTCCAACACTTCTGTGATACCATTGTGATCAGCTTCTAATTCACATTTAAATTTAAATAATTCAGTATCCAAACGCCGTAAGTAACGCAAAACTAACTCATGTGCTTGCGTGGCTATTGATACCTTTTCGTCGGCGTCCTCCATTACTTTGATATAATCATCATGTATCTTTTGTGTACCATTTTCAATTTCTTCTTCATTAATTTCAGATCTTTTGCATTGCTGCAAGAATGAACTAGTCTTTTTTTCTATTGTATCTATGTTATCTATTAACAGGATTTAAAATTGGTTGTGATGTTTGCATTTAATACTTGACGTAGATTTCAGTTACTTACTTTGTACGTTTAAGTCTAATTCACGTATTTCCGTGAAACGATCTCTTAACTCTTGAGGCAAATGCTCAATCACTTGAAACATAAACAAATATATTTAGAAATTGCGCATAAATGTATATATAAACAAAATAGGCAAGTAATAAAAAAAAATAATTGTTTACATTACAATGGCCAGGGGAGCACCCATTTGTAGATTTATATTATTTCATAAAAAATAATATGAAAAATACTTACTTTCAAGATAATCCTCTAAATATAACATATTTCTGTAATTTTTAGTTTATTCCGAACAATAAATTAGTTTTTTATTTCTGTAAAAATTTTCACGCTATTCCGTATAAAATTTTCTTAACCAATTCTCATAAGTTTAGAAATGTCATGTGAAGCATAAATGAACCTAACAGGGTTGCTCAGTTCAAATATGATACAAAACCTACTTTTTGCAAAAAAGTAGAAAATTTAAAATTATTGTTAACATGATTTTTTGTACTTTTTTAATATAAATTTTTATATAAGCTTAAAATTAAATTAAATAAACAATGCATATAGAATTATATATTATTTAAGTTAATATAAATATATATTGTAGTTATCAGACAATGTGTATTTAGTTTATTTTAGAACTTGGCATATATTTTAATAAGTGCCATTAATTGTAATTGTAATTGTCAATGAGAGCATCTAAAAGTACGTAACATCTCTGTCGAAATTTGAAAATGCTACACAGACTTTACTTATACATTTTATTTCAAGTAAAATTTGTGTTGATGTATGTTTTCGTTTGAATTTAAAATTCTGTATTGCTTATTTGCGCGTTACTAGTGTTCTCACCAGACTTTGTATATAGATGTTCCATGAAAATTTGTGTAAAAAGCGAAATTTGGCACTTTATTTGTGTTACGCTTTCAGTTTATACTTTACTTGTGTTTTATTTGACTTCTACTACGAGTAGCTCGTGGAACAGACCTAGTATATAAGTCAGTCAAATTTTTGGTTGTTGCATTTTTGAATGAAATCGTAAAATAATCTATTTATAACTAGTTTTGAACTCACAGTCGATTTCCACCATCAAAGTTTATAATGCAAATATGGTGGCATATAACTCAATCGAATTTTTGATTGAATTTTTGAATAAAACTATGATTTGATATTAATTTGATTTTGGTATGTAGTATATGTGGAATGAACCACGCGGACATAATTACTTGTGCTGTTTGAATAGTTTATAAATAAAATTTTTACATAAATTTGTATTTTTTAAAAAATGTTAATTTGATAATAATACTACTTTTATATTAGTTTGAGCTTTCAAGCAAATCCAAATCCAAATAACAAATACTACAAAAAAATGCAACTCTGTTTTGACAAGTAAATAAAATTACGAACTTTAGTATAGTTTTCGTCCTGCGAATCAAAGTGTTTAATTTTAGTCCTGCCGTCCGAGTTCTTATGATTAATTCGAGTTATTCCAATTGCAATAATCTTATGGCGGAGAATAAATTAATTGTAGATTAATTGAATAAAAATGATTAATATAAAAAAATAGTGAAATGAAATTTATTTGAAATATGTGTATACTGTTATGCCCGTTAGCATTGTTAGTATAAATTGTATATAATAAATAAAATAGAATTTTAGTGAAAATGTCAAAAATAGTAACGCCCCAAAGGATGGTGCAGTTGCAACAAAACAGTAAAAAACACACAAACACAAATGAAATGGATGGGAATATTTCCAAAGAGTCATCAGTTGTTGATTTTGATGACTTCACCACGACCAGTTCAATAATTGAGTTTCTTTCGAAGGAGCAGGAGTGTTGTTCTGACGCAGATGCAGATAGCATTTTTCAGGAAGTTAGCCGCTTGGCTGACAATTCAGATACACGTAGTGTTGATGAAATTTTACGCGAAGCTGAATTGCTTATACAACAGCAGAGCATATTTAATGTTACAGTTAAGAATAAGTCCAAATCCAAATCAAAAGAAAAGCAACAAAGCATCAAAAATAAAACCAAATATGAGTATGTAAGACCAATTGAAACTGCACCAACAGAAACGGTAATGCATTTCAATGGTCCGGTCATTTCGTCAACAAATACACTGCCAATGGTTGACTCTATAACACCAGTGGCTTTAGAAACGCCAACACCCACGGAGGCTATCGTTAATAATTTTAATTGTTTTGTTGAAAACTTGCCTTCTGAATCTGTCATCTCCGAAGAGTCTACGCCAGATCTAAACTGTACTGTAACTGAGAATGTTACTTTCACGGCAGCACAAACAAAAAATTCAGACGACACAGATGAAGGTACCGATACGGTAAGTGAACCTCTTTATGAAATTATAAAACTTTTATTTCAAAATAAAATACATATTGTATATATAAAAATAAAAGGATACAAAAAATATTTTCATTTATTTTAAAAAATTCGCTCACTAGAAAAATATGCTTTTACTTAAAGTTCCATCACATCAACTCAACTGAATGCCTGTGCAACTGCTTGCACCATTGCTAAGCCTTCTTTACCAGTGCCAATTATTTGTTTAGGTGGTAAAATAAAACCCCGTTGTCCACGATCACGTAACTCAATTGTGTAAACATACTTAATACCTAGAGTTGCGCGAGTCCAATCGTCTGAACCACCACTTGCTATACCAAGTAACTTATAGGTTGTACCAGCACGATAGGTAACACCCGTTCTTTGTTTAATCGTTTTAACAGCTTTATTCGCTACTGCTTTTAGTCTGCCAGCATCGCTGACCATTGCCGCTTTATAGCCCCATGGAAATACAATTACTTGCCCATAACTGTGAAATGTTAAGTAGGACTTAAGTTTAGACTTTTGTGATGCAAGAAAATTAACTAGTGATTTAGTTTCTGGTTCAGATGCAGCAGAAGCGCCGCGGTAAACATCACTGCATGGATTTGAAGATGATCCTTGTCCTCTCCAGTTTATATTAAAATTACGATTTAAATCAACACCTCTGCAAGTAGAACGGCTGTTTTGCCTACGATTTTTACGCCACAAGCGATTTGTTTTGCGACTATACATATAACCATCTGGGTTTAATACTGGCATTATGTACCATGTTTTTTGTTTAATATAACTAGGTTGATTAGACCAATTGGTAATTAATTCATTGAGTATATAAGTAACTGTGGAGGGACTTATCCATTCACGTGCATGTATGCCACCATCAATCCATATTGCATTATTGCTCTCCGATTCGGTGATTCTACGAATTGTTGAAAATGATAAGTTATAATTAAGTATATAAACTCAATTTGTATATAATAAATGAATTTTAGTTCAATAAAGATAAAAAATAAAGCGCATACTTATCGGAATTTTGAAAGTATCACACTTTTAAGTTTGTTATAATACCCCTGATGTTTTCTCAACAAATATTTTGCTAACAACAATAATATTTTAATAATATTAATATTATGTATCATTCGAAACCTTGTAAATATATAAAGCTATGCCATAAGTAAGGTTAGATTATACCGGCGACCCCTGGTGGATTCACTTAGGCCTATTAGTCCATTGTGTTACCGTATATGTAGAAAAAACTCCGAATTTAAAACCACCTAGAACCGTTGGCGAAGCCTAAAATGCTATTTAGTGTCAGGTCTTGCAATTAAACAAGATCCTCAAGAAAGGGTGCTCTTAAAGTGTTGAGTCGTCACCGTGCATGAGCTGGGCAAAAACATAGTAAATGGGAGGCATTCTCATTGTCTTCCCCACAGCTGTGACAGATTTGATTGAAAGAGAGACCCAATCTTCTAGCATTGTTCCCTAGCAACTTGTAAGCGAACCTACCAAAAGACCGAAATCTCTACGGGATATCTCAATGAGAATTTTGAATTTCCTTTTATCGGAACGTGGCCAGGATTGCATACATATCGTTGAGTCTTACAATCTTTTATTAAAAATTTCAGCATGCTGTACCATAACTATCATATGAAATTTTAATTAAATACGTTATCCATGTAATATATAATAATATCTATATTATTAATATATAATTTACTATCGCTATAATTATAACTTAGTATTATTCTAATATAACAAAAAATGATATGGTATAATCATCTTATAATTAATAATAATTAATATTATTAATAATAATTTTTTAATTGAAAATTCATTTATATTGATATAATGTTAACTTAGTATTACTTATATATAACAAAAAGTGATGTTGAACTACACTTAAAACAAAAAAATAAAATCGTAATTATTTTATTTTATATAAATCCAAAATATTGACAATAAACTGTAGCTATCATCAGAAAATTATAGAAATAATAGTGAATCTGTTTTATAATTTAAAAAATGTATAGATATGAAAACTATCCTTACCTATCATTTTTTATGTTTATATGCACGGTTTTATAGAGTCTCTTTTTACAACTTTCGTCCCGTAGATATTTCTATCCCATTCTAAATATATAAAAGATATATCTTGTATTAAGCATATATCTTTTTTTGAGTTAGTCGTTTAGAGTTCAAATATGTAGAGACATTTCACATTTTACACCAGTTTACAAGCAAGTAATGGCTGAAACTAACGATTAATAGAGAAAAGGAAAGATGATTATATTGAGAAGGGTTACGATGACTATTACAATCTAAAATGCTTTTAGGGACATACAACCTGAAACGATTTAAGGATTGTATAGAACAAACAAAGAGTAACTTAAGAATTATAACGCGAATACTAACCGGTCACTGTAAATTGAATAGTTACTTAGCAAAGGTAACAATCCAATTCAACTCAAACTGCAAATACTGCAAAGAAGAGAAAGAAATACCTCATAGTAGTGTTAGGAGTATGCCCGGCACTGATAAGCAGAAGAAAAACCAGGAAGGTGTTTCATGGAAGATAGGGACTCATGGCTAGGAAAGATAGGCCCTATACTGTGTTTCATTAAAGAAAGACTTGAAGAAGGGCTTGGAGGAACGCTCTAATCCAACTAAAGGACACAATAGATCTTTTAAGTCGCAATGTACTATCCCTTTTCCTAATAATAAACCATTAAAATCAGTTATCGAGGAGTGATTGGAGTAAAAATAATTAACAAAATAAACATTCTTATGCACACCGGCATGTCTATCGAAGAGAAACTGATTATTGAAATTAATCCTTCAGATGTTTAAAAAGAATGAACAAAATTAACCTCTGAATGATGATCAATATATTTGTTATGGAAGAGCAATTAATTTCCAAAAATAACGATTGATCTGTTGTCTAAGAAGAATAAACAAAATTTATAATCTAATTAAGCCTGAACTGTGTTTTAGCAAGGAGAAAATTATTGCCAAAATTAACGTTATATAAAGACTGAAATGTTAATTATTAAAGAGTAACTAACAAAAGAAGTTGATTATCAGGCAATTATCTAAAAAGAATATTCCCGTAATAAAGATTGGAAAGGCATTAATCAAAATAAACTAATTTCTGAAACTTTCACTTTGGCATTTATCTCTCTAATTTTTGTAACTGATTTCTGAAATTTACCATTTTACAGTTGTCTAAAAAGAACCTCTAATAGAGAACGAAGTATCATTTCTCAAAGAAATAACTGATTTACGTAGAGTTAATTTGGAAATGAACTCTTTCTCTGTTGTCTAAGGATAATGTATAAAATTAAACTTCTAATGAAGACTGGAATATCCTTTATCAAGAATTGCAATTGTCTGAAAAAAGTGTGATATATTTTTTAAGAATTGTTTTTTTCGTTTTTTTTTTTTACAATAAACTACCACGTTTTGTCGTTAGTCTACTGTGACATGATTCTCAGTAGAATTAACATATAGTGCTAGTGGTTTCATGATTTCTAGCCTTTACTTAATACATAAAATTTTCTAATTTTATTTCTAATTTTTGATATTTTATTTCTAATATTTAATATATACTGACATCAAAAGAAATTATATTACCTATAGGACGAGATTTAAAGAAGTTAATTTGAATAGAGATATATTTTCCTTAAGTATTCTTAGGTGTAGATATATATCGTCAACATATTTTTTGTAAATACGACACAAAATATGTTGTTGTAAATAAAACTTCTTAAAAATAATTTTTATATATAATTTAATTTTTTTTTAATATTAAACTTTTAATAAATTATTGTAAATATTTAATTCTCTTAAATGCTAATTTGATTACATTGCGAGTAAATATTAAATAATAAAAAATTAGTTAAAGTAATCCAAAAAAGAATTTATGGATTGTAAAACTATCACACAAAAACACACATTCATACAAAAAAAATGCATTAAATTACTAACACACTGGAAACTCTTAGATATTACGAAAAATGAAAAAACTCTAACTTAATTGCATAGATACAAATAATTTCGTATATAGTTTTATACTATGGCCTGCGCCACGGTCTCGACAACGGTGTAACCCTCAATTGCAGTGTCTAAAATTTGTGCGGGTGGTAGAACAAAACCAAAATGACCACGGTCACGCAATTCAACAGTGTATACATATTTAATACCTAAGGCGGCACGGCTCCAGTCATCGGAACCACCACCGGCAATACCCAAAATTTCATGTGTAACAGAGGCACGATATATAGCGCCAGTTTTCTCTTCAATCCGTTGCACTGCCGTGTTTGCGACACTTTGCAACTCTGCTGAATCCTTAACTTTGACAGCTTTATAAGCCCATGGATAGACTAATACTTGTCCATAACTGTGGAAAGTTAAATATGCTTCCATATTGTATTTACGTTTGCTTAGAAATTTCACAACAGCGTCTGTTTCCAATTCTGAGCCAGGTTTAGAGCCGCGATATGTATCACTGCAAGGGTTTGTCGATGAACCAAAACCATTCCAACCAATATCAAAGTTACGATTTAAATCAACACCAAGACAATTGGAACGTTTTGATGGTGCACGATTTTTACGCCATAGACGATTCACTGTACGACTGTAGACATAACCATCGGGATTCATCACTGGCATTATATACCAGGTTTTCTCGCGTATAGCTGCTGGCTGACTTTCCCAATTCGACATCAGTTGGTATAGTATAAAAGTGACAGTAGCGGGACTAATCCATTCGCGTGCGTGTATTCCACCGTCGATCCAGATTTTTTTATATTCACGCGGATTTTCTGATATTCTGAAATTTAGAAATAATCACACAAAATATTTAGCATAATTCTTGGCGGTTTTATTAATTTTCTTTGTTAGTTTTTTTTTGTTAGTTAATTATTTAATTTAATTAACTTCTCAAGTTTTGCATGCAAATTTTATTTCAAAATTTTTTTTTTTTATATTTATGATGTGCGGTTAATTTTATTTACAATTTCCAGTTTTATGATGGTTGTTGTTGTTGTCCTTCAATTCTATTGAAATTCATGTGTTAATTTATTACAAATTAATAAAAAACTAAACATCAAAATAAAAACCTTAACACCTGTTAAAGTTAAATTTACAACGTAAATTCATAAAATAATTATATAAATTAATTGACTAATCAGTAGTATTTACAATTTAATTGTAGTAATTATTTGATGTATTTTATGTATAGAATTAAAGTGATTCTTTTCTATAAATGATTAAAGATATATTAATAATAACTACAATATTTTTAACTAAAAAATTTACATAAAGAATGTCAATAGTTTAACTAAACAATGTATTACTAAATATACATGAAGAAAAAAGCATTAGATGTTTTACTTCAGAGATGGACTGCAGATAAAAAATGAGTAACAGATGATAAATTCTATTAAAAAAATGCTTCCAAGAAAATAATATATAAAATATATAAATATATATATAAAAATATATATATAAAATTTAAACGATAAAACTTATAAACATTTCGAGATAAATGAAATTTTTTTTTAATGAAATAATATTTGATTCATCATAAATTTGGGCTAGTTTTGTTACTAACCTGACACAGATGTCACAATTTTAAATTAGAGATATAACAAAATTCATAGACTTAACAGCTTGGTTTTCCTTTACTTGAATGGAAGATTTGTGATTTCTGAAAGAAACCTCTCTTTGCGGTGATCTACAGGTTTAGCGAATGTACAGTGTATCATTCGTGGTTGGAAACGGGTCATTATGTGAACTTTGGTGCACAAGGCTTCTACTCCAACCTAACCTAATGACCCTAATGACTAATTTATATATAAAAAAAATTGGGTAACAAAGCAAGAATTTATTTAACTAAAAAATTGTACATAGATCTTCCTTGAGTTTCCCTGAAGATGACAAAATATTGAAGATACTCGAAATATCGGAAAAATATTTTAATAATATATAAATTGTTTTTAAATAACAATTATAAATTATAGTTTTTTTATTGCTATTTAAATTGACCAATTAGCCTGCTAATAAATTACTATATATAGGTTTAGCAAATTGAATATAACGTTTATGAGATTTTGGTTTGTCTTCTACTAAAGATATTTTTCGTTTAGGCCATTATGTATCTCATTTAATATTGTAAATGGGCAAACCACAACCAGCCGGCGAGTTTTCATGTTCCAGGTGTTAATCGTAACAAGGCACAAAACGGATCTCAACATGAAAAAGCTAGTTAAAAAGCTAGTAAGCTCACGATAACATTTAATATAATTTCATACGACTTTTCCCATTTCATACAACTTTTATTGTATTTGTTTTGATAAAAAATTCAATTCCCAGATTTATGTCACTTAGAAAACCCTCTATATATTAATACTATAACCAAAAAACCCTGATTTTTTTTTATGATCGCAGAAACAATGCAATAAAGGTTATTTTTAAGTGAAACACTTTAATGTCTAATAACATTTTAGTTTAGTAGTTTAATCAATCTATTTTATAAAAATAATAAGTTAACTTGTTTAAACTAAAATATTATAGATGCTTTAAGTTCCATTGAATTTAAAATATGTAAGATTAATTAGATATAGTAGAGTTACTTATACTTAATTTGTTTATGGTAGCAGAAGACCTAGTGCGCCAGCGAGACCGTGGAGAAGAACGCTCGAAAATGAGCTAGCTTGAAGCACGACATATATGGAACGACATCTAAAGAGAATCACCAAATAGAGTCAAATTTAGAATAATTATTGAGGCTCTATGCCCCACTGGGGGAAGTGCACTATAATAGTAGTAAGTCTTAAATGTGATAACTCTTCTATTATCATCAGTTTCGTTGAGTTAATTTACTGTAAATTGTTTAAAGTCTTCTTGTTTACTCTGTCTTCAGTGGTATTTTGTAGAATAACTTTTAATTTTCTTCAATATAACTTATAAATTAATTACTTTATGTAGGTTTTAGTTCTTAATGACTCAAGGTGCTTTAGGTAATATATAATCTCTCTAATGATATATGAACGATTTTATCAGAATTTTATTGTTAATAATTAGGGATTCGCATATATAGATTGAATTTTTTTTCAAGTTTTGCTTTTTTTTTTATCAATTTTTATGTTTTTTGTCGTGATTCATTGGAATTCATTTAGGTGATCTAAATCATGATTGGAATTAAAAACCAGCTTTCTTTCAACATGCATTCAAAAAATGAAAAGAGTACATAGTACAAATGTGTGAATTAAAATGTTTCGAAATAAACTCAATAGTATTATTTTATGTATATATATATACATTTTCAAAAAACGTGATATTATTTACAGAACGAAAACAATATAGAAAAAATAATCACAAAAAAAAACAAATTAATTTTATTGCACAAAAACTAGAAATTAAAAGTTGTTGTTTTCGTTAAGAAATCTTGATTGGATATTTTTTTTGATAATACACACACTGTATACTTTTTAATTTTATTAATTATATATAAATTATATATAAAATTTCAGTTTTAACAATTATTTAGTAAATCCATTATCGTTATTAGCATTTGGAAAAAAAAAATATTTAAGTAAATTACGTTTCTTATTATTTAAATGTATCAATTTTTTTTTGCATAGACAATTTTAAAAATTTTGTATATTTTTACGCAAAAAGTATGACGGAAAAAAATGTTAATGAAATGAAAAACAAGTCTCACTATATTAATGTATGTATTTAATGCATATATACATGATAAAATAATATTCAGACTATGATGCTGTTGATATAATATTCAAAGACTATCTTCACACAAAGACTATCATAATACAAACATATGGAGATATTATATGGTTTGTCATTTAAAGGAAGAAATCACGAAAACTACCGAAGAAAAAAGTGAACAAATACCCAAAACCTATGGACCATAACACAATTCATTGGTTTGAATTACTTCATCAACCAATGTATATGGTAAATGCAACATACCGTGATTTTTATCACCTAGAGATATATGGAATAATTATTTCGTTTGTCATTTAAAAAAAGAAATCACAAAAAATTGTTTAAGAAAAAATTGAACTACCACTCAAAACCAATGCAACATAGTCATTGGTTTGAATTATTTCCTCATCCTCATTGGCAGTAAATGTAGCATTTACTTAAGATAAAAAAAATTGTTCTATAAGAAATGCATGCAATTGTTAGATATGTGTTCTGAAATAATGATCCAGAGATTATAAAAAGATCTCTGAAAAAAAACGCCTGAGAACCATATAGGTTCACCATAGAGAAATAGAAGTATTAAGATATTTTTATTGTTGTCGATATATATTGAAATATATATATTCAATATATATATATTACATATATTGAAAGGTAAAGTCAATTCTTACAAAAAGCATTGTTCTTTCGTAATTAGTAATTGTTTTTTTTTTTGAATTATTCAAGTTTATACAGTATATAGTATATATTACAGTATATTACAGTATAATAATAGCCATATTAGCTATAGTCATAATAATAATCATATCATAGCCAGAACATCATTCCATAATGGTGGAATAACAATAGCATTATGTCTAGCAGAATTCAAATTATAATGAATATCTCAATATTTTATATTAAGGTTTTTGTTATTTAAAATTACTTTCGTATGTAATTCCTTTTCACATTCTATATTTTGGTTAATACTTGAAAGAGTTTACTCATTTAAAACTCTTTTCAAATCAAATCAACTACGACTGAATTCATATACTATAACGCTGAAAGGAAGCCCCATTTATATATTGCATATAGGATGCTGTAAGACTCTTTTCATATTATAAACCAAATCATCTATGACTTCATTCGTACAACGTTCAAAGTAAGGACCCTATATATATGCTCAAAATAATAATTTGGTTGATTTAACAAGATTTTAACTAAATCTCAGGTCAAAATATTCTTACTGGACGCATCATGTTGGTTCAACTATACCAGATATTGGTTTCCATATCTTTTTTACCACATGAGATAAAATTTCTCTAGCAAAATTATCATGTCAATTTAATTAGTATGTTGTTATATATAGTAAATAAAATATATATTGTATATATATTAATTTTAAAAATTATAATTCCATGCAATATTTTAATTTACAAACGTAATTATTATAATACTTATAATTAAAATTTATATTGTCAATAATCTCAATATTTACAGCAAATTTATTTACCAAAAACTTATACTATATATCAATAAATACACATTTCACCGGTAATTATATCAGATTACTATTATTTTTTATTTATTTAACACCATTACTTTTTTAATATTATTTTGAACTAGTGAAAATGTTATTAGAAAAGTATGAATGTGTTTTGAAGTAAGTACAGTGTAAGTAAATATTTTAGTATGAATTTCGTTTGCATGCTGTTAATCATCATCTATTGTATTGTATATTTCTTTTTTGAGTACAGCTCACTTGACTGTGATGATATATGACAATTAGTTAATTTAAAAATTGTGCTAATGTTTTTTATTTACATTATCTAATAGTCAATAGCTAAAATAAAAACTAAAAAAAGCTTCATTCTATTCTGTATACAACTAATAATATGTACAATTACGTTAACAAATGAATAGTGTTTTGTCAAAAAGTGAATTGGTTAATAAATTAATTTAGAAAAAAAAACCTTTACACTCACCTCAAAACTTTCAGGTCGCGACCCTCGGTCGTTTTACCAATAGTGTATAGACGACAAATATTTGGAAATTTTCCGCGAATTTCACGCATGAAGGCATATATAACGTCCAAGTCCTGATAGTCTTTCCAGTTCATGCCACTACGGGCAGCTTTTTCTATAAATAAATAAATCATTTGTATAATATATATTTGAAGTTGTATCTTTATGTATATGTATATGCATATATTTCTTTTTAATTTACTATAACTATTAATATGTTAAATTTCTGCTAGAGTATAAAGCTTATTTTATATAGAATCAAAAATTTACACAAAGTCATATATATTTTTATATAACATACTTATGCGCCGTCCAGCAATGCCTTGTGTAGCTTCTGCTCCTTCCAATTGTTCCATATCGATTAGATCTTGTATATTGCCATTAAGAATTTCGCTATCAAGTTGATTGTCAATGAGAAAACTACGTGCCGCTTTAAGATGTTCTTTGCCAATTGAAATATCCAAAAATTTGGAATTTTCTTTCCATATAACCCCACCTATAAATGGAATAAATATTTTATAATTTATGTTAAACAAATTTTATTAATTTAAAAAATCTTGAATATAAATTTTTAACATACCGAACTTATTCTCCAAGGTTTCTGCTACTGGCATTTCATTTCGCATATCATTCGATATGTTATAAATTCGCCACAATTGTGTCTCATCAAATCGCACAGGTATTTCGTTTACATCCATTAGATAATCATTGCTTAAATTTTCCACTTGTGTGGAATTTTCAAGCATTTCTTTTTCATATAACATCCTGTTTCCGGTTTGTATATTTTTGTCAGCTATTGGAGGTAAACTCATAACATCAAATGCATTTGCTGCTACCGTAAAGCAAATCAGTGCTACGCCAAGCATCACAAATATCCTTATTCGTATCATTTTATTAAATCAAATTTATTTCGTAAGTTATTTTTTGGATTGTTGATTAAAGTCTGTAAAAAATAAATAAAATGAAAGTTAAAAATAAGAACGTATATATTTAATTAAAACAATTACATACAAAATATCATAAATAAATTAAAAAAAATTAATATAAAGCAAAAAATTTTTAATTAAATAAGTAATTATAAGTTAAATTAAATAATTAAATATATTATTATATTGAAGCTATTTGAGTCAGTGCACTTGAGTACTTTTACTCTTTATTAACTCGAGATATCTTCAACACTCCTCTTTACGCCTTGACTAGATTATTGTTTATCACTTCATCAGATTAAGCAATTATTGACCTCAGATCTGCATACCTCCCCGAGGAGCTTATAAACATTCTGAGATTCGATACCACGATGTTGGTAAGTCTGTCAGTTTCCGCAAATAATTTCAGGGCTTCGTCCTTTATGTATTTTTTGATCGGATCAATCTTGAGGTCCCTGAGGATGTCATTCGTCCTAATGTACCATGGTACGTTGAAAAGTCCCATAAGTTCGATGAATTAAATATATATATATATATTTTTTTTTTTTTATATTTAATATATATTTAAAAGTTATTGATCAAAACGTTTATTATAATATTAATTGTAATAATTGGGTGATTGATCAATTGCCATAAAATTCCTTGAAATGAATTTAGAGTGAAGTGAAATTTTTCAACTTAATAAAAAATAATATGGAACAGTTCAAGTCATTTTAGTATAATTTTTATTTTCAACAAAAGCTTCCTACAATTCAGCAATTATCATATTATAATAAAATTTATATTAAGTTAATTCAGTTAATCTAATAAAAATAATGTAAGTTTATTAAGGTTAAATATATACCATGATAATTGCAGATATACTTCGTGCTTAATCATAGAATCTTACTTTGTTTAATAAATATTATTTATCATAAATAAAATTATCTTATATCATCACAAAATCATCATATAATCTTATTATATTTAATAAATATTATTTATTACTAAATAATTTAATAAAATTATCATAAAATCATATAATTTTATTATCGTCTAATAAATATTAATTATTACTGAATAATTTTATTAATAATTTTATTAATAACTGTATGACAATCATTTTGACTATTTTTGGGTAGTACAACTACTTAAATTTAAGATTAATAATAAGTAAAAATGTCTGTTATTATCTTGTTATTATCTATTATTATATATATATATTACCATTCTTCTCTTTAAGGGGTTATAGATTCTACAAAAGATTAGCTATTATGTATATTATATATATATCTAGCTATTAGTCACAGTTTGATATTCTCTAGTAATATCGTAAAAATATCCAATAAAAGCTGTTATACTCCAGCTCTTTCCAGCGTTTCTTACTTCAGTTTCAGATTGTCTCTTTCAAGTTCTGTGGGCGTTTCGGTTTCTTTCCTCGGTCTTAAGGGTGGAAATCTAAAACTTTTCTTGCGATATCATCAACGAGTTTTCTTGAAGTATGTCAAAGCCATCAGTATTTGCGCGTCTTTATTTCGTCAGCTATAAACCAGATTCGTTTTAAACCAGAGCTCACTATTGGTTATGGTGGCAGGCCAGAATATATGAATCAATTCTATTACTACACAATTAATATTAACTAAGATTTTATAATTGCTGAAATCATTGATGTCGTAGATTTGTAAAAATTATCATGTATTGATTCTTAGAAATTAATATATTTACTATCTAGCACGAATAATACGTTCACTATATGTATTAGCAAAAAATCAAACTTGAACAATGATCTATATTTTTCTATTTCTGGTCATCATTGATAAATATGACAGCTCTTCAAAAAGCTCTTCATAACTTATTTAATGCACGTTATATATTCACTAATATATTGACAATAAATGTGATATTTATCTGATTTATTTAATTTAATTTATTGGCTTACATAAGCGGTAAAAAAAATTCCATTATAATAATAAAAGCATATCAAAATTATCATTAAATTTGGGTTTTACATACCATTAATAATAATTTGATAAACATTAATATATAACATATTTTATAATTTAAATATTTAAATTCGAAACATTCGTTATCTCTTCGGATGTATAGATGAATCATTATTGCAAATCCCAAACATCAACATGTCTCTTAAGTATACAATACTTATTCTAAAATAATTTAAATTTCTTAGGAAATGCTTATATTATATCAATAAAAAGTGTTTATATTGCTATGTGTATTATATTGTTTTCTATAATACTATAGCTTATCAGTGTTACATGTTTAGTATTTAAATAAAATAATATTAGACTGAAAAAATATTTTTTAATAAAATTTAAAATTATCATTATAATGTATAAATTGAATTTTATTTAATTTATTGAAATTTCCAATAATAAATATCATTTGTTTATGACCACATAGGATTTTCCAAAAATCTTTAATTATACATACTGTTTTCTAAGAAATTCATTGCAATTATTTTTGAGGTTTCGTAAATATTTACTAAATTTATTTCTTGAATATATTAATTTATAATATATATTATTATACATAACATATATATAAGTGTATATTTTTCCCCAAAGTTCATGATGAATTTTTTCAGTCAATGCAAATAATTTATATGCAATCTTTTAACCAAATAAATTGATAAGTAAATATTTACGGTTTAACTAATTTTATGTAGTATTAAAAATGTTTTTTTTGTCGTATTATTTAAATACGAAATTTTTTTATTTTTTATTTAATTTTTATAAATTAGAATTACTTTTAATCTAAGCTTGTTCAACATTTATTAGTAGTTAGTTCATCCAGGTTATGGACATGTATTCTACGAGTAACTTTACTCATAACCTGTCCAATCCAAAGTGGCGATTTTGGACACATTGAAAGGTATTTCTTATAAAATTTTTTGTCATAAATAAAAAGTTCAAAAAAAAGACGAAAACCGAAAGATTTTGTTTAATGAAGAAAAAAAAATCATTTTCCACCGTCTACAACATTTGATTTTGTTTATAATCATTTATTTATATATTGCATATGCACGAGTATTTTTTGCTACAATTTCAACTTTATTGCTAAAATTTGTGAATTAATTTTCAACTTTTAATTTTTATAACCAAAATAAATGTTATTAGATTTTTTATTTCAAATAAGACTGCAGCTGTATCTCAATATCTTTAAGTAAAGCTAAAATTAGTCTATGTTGGTTATTAAAATAGAAAATTAAAGTCAGCGTGTAAACATCTGCACAAATTGTTACATTTACTCAGACTAATAAAAGGTAATCTTAATAATTTTGTAATATCACAGTTAAGTGTGTAAAATATGCAATATCCAAACAGCAGCAATTCGTCCTGAAATCGAGAAAAATTGTTTGGGTACTTAGACCAAACTCTTAATTAAGTGTGAGGAACATAGTTCTATTGAAAAAAATTATGCTTAAACTGATCTATATGTAGACTATACAAATTTGTGGCACTGCAGATACCTTCCTACAAAGGTATACCATAGTAGAAAGTAGGATAAAAATCTGCGAAGGTGTCAATCAAAAATATCAACAAATGTATCAAAATTTGAAGATATGCAACAAATTATTTCATGCATCAGGACATGAAAATTAATTTTGTAGAAGAAGAATTAAGAAAGTCCAGTAAAATATATATAGAAAAGCTAGGCTGGAACCTTCTACAAACAACAATCCAATCGAAATGTAAGTATGTTGGGGAAGTTTCAGGTTTTGAACATTCAACACAAATTTTAATTTCATAAAAACTAAGTGACGAGTAAAAGTATCTTTTAGCACTATAATAGCTGTTGTTTTGCAAGATCATATTCATAGAGTTCCACGTAACATAGTACTTTAATTTAATTTTCGACGTAAAAACAAGAAAAAACGTATGTGGAAAACAAAATATATATTTTTTAAAGGAAATGTTCCTAAGCTATATAAGAACTAATATACGTTGAAATAAAGAAAAAAATGTTTGGGATTATATAAATCATATTTTCCAAAAACAAAATAAATGGAAATTTTGAAAAAAATCTACTTCAAGTAGCTACAACCATCAATCTCAACTAGTCGAGAAATTTTTTTTTTAAAAATATCGATGTTCTCAAAAATTTTTTATGGTATTGTTCTTTGTTTTAATATATAAATATTATAAATTGAATTTTAACTCATACTATATTTTTCGTTTCTTAAATCAATGAATCAACACTTATATTTATTGCAATTTGGTGAGGAGCATATATATACACATTGTATCTGAAGAGTATTATTTAACAATGATTATTATAAAATCAATACTTTTATTCAAATAATCAATAATTTATATCATTCGCATTCGCTTCTGATAAAATTTTCATATTGTCCCTTTTTGTTATCATATTTTTATAATAATATTAATTTAAACTGTTTTCAACTTTCTGAATTTTAATAATTAATAAAAAATAAATAATAATAATAAATAAATAAATAAAAAATGAGTGCAATATAGAACTATAGAACAGAACTAAAAATGTGACGATTTGTTGTATATATTATATTTTCTTAATATTTATTTATGTTTATTAATTGTAGAGTTCTTATCATGATAATGACTCTTAAGGAGGGAATATAAAATATATTATAAAAAAATAAACAAATGCCGAAAATAAAAAAAATATATAAAAACATTATAAATATAAACACATTATAAATAAAAAATATTAAATTAATATTTTAAACGAATGTTAATACATAATAAGTACTTCTGAACATAATTTGACGAACATTTTTTTATTATTAATTTCGTATTTATAATAACATGTGTTCTTATAAAATTACAAAAAAATAAATATTTAACATAATTTATTTTTAAAATTATGTGCCGATTTGTTTGTTAATGAATCGTAAAACAATTTGATAACATTTTTATATTAAAGTTTTTTTTTAAATTAAGTTTTTATTAATGCAAATTTGTATTTCCATTCATAGTAACTTAACAAGTAGTTTTTTTGCATATTTTAGTTTATTTTAATTTTTTTAAAATTTGTTAAATTTTAATTTCTATAAATAGTAATTTATCAAGTAGTTTCTTTTTTGTATATTACAGTTTATTTTAATTTTAAAAAAATTTTATTAAAAAATATTTTTTCAACTTTTTATCAGTCAAATTTGAAATCGTGTTAAAAATTGTTTCATGTTAACTTTTTTTTTTTATTAAAGTAGAAAAATTTTGTTTGATAATTTTAATCAGAATTTTAGTGAATAAAACTAAAATATTTACAAACCTTTAATTATTTCGTATTTCCGTTGCGGTTTGTTTTATATCCCAGCTTTGAGATAGATAAGTTTTTGCAAATTACTGCAACGACGCTGTCTGTTTATATCTTTAACTTAAACTGAAATTTTGCATTTGAGATTTACGGCAATAACTGAATTATGTTGACCGCTAATGGCAAGGGTGAGAGTTGTAGTTTGAGGTAGAAAGGTATAAAAATATATATATATATATATGTACTTTTTAACACAAAACAGCAAAAATGAAACTTGTTTAGGATTTTCTTTTTATTTTAGCCTTCTTTCACCGAAACGGTTTTTATTAAAACCAAAACTTGTTCCTTTGTTAAATTTTTGGTGTGTTGTGGGTTGTTATCTGGACGCGGCTTTTCCTTTTGTAAACCTTACTCAAATTGCACTTAACCGGACCGGTTTACTTCTTATTATAGTTAAGATTTGAATTAAAAAAATAATTTTAATTACTGTTTTTTTAGTTTAAGCAAAAATTCGTACTGAACTCAAAACGAACGAAAAATTTTTTTATAAAATTTATACTAAAAATAAGTTTTTAACAGCGCATGTGCGTGCGCTCTAAACCAGCCAAAACTGTACTCGAGCCTATGATATTGCTTAGTACGCCGCGGACACTTTAAAGCAGACTAAACGTCGGAAATGAGTTGTCGTCAATTTTTATATTAAAAGCAAGCCGTCGTCGGCGTTTACGTCGTGCGTCACTGCTAAAGTCACAGTTGTTGCTAGTACCGCTGTCTACTGTAACCGTCGCTACTACAGTTGCCGGTGTGAACACACATGAGGTTAGTATATGCTGTGGTGTTGATATTTGAGATACAGATACAGTAACTAAAACTGTGCGATTGTTTACTCAATGTGGCTCTTTTTGTTTTGGTTTGTTTGCTTGTTTGCTGTTACTTCGAGAAACGCACTAAAACCTTTGCGAATGAAACTGACACCGACCCTCCTGTATCAACAACTAACAGATAGCGTAACAGTTTCACGCCTGCAAGTTTGTTCGCTCTCCGATTCAGATTCAGTTTCAGATTTGAGGTTGAGTAGTTAATTTACTGGCAAATTTGAAGTTTTTCTGCAGTTTATTGCATTCGTAATTTATTGCAGTATATCTCTGAGTCGTTATTTTGCATATATCACATTATAGCTGCATTTATGATTGTTCGACGCTTTTTACTTTTATTTGAAGCTGCACTCAAGTTGAGTTTTTTTAGGTTTTTTGTTTATTAAAATTTTAAAGCTCATGAAAATTTTGCAATGACACATATTCCGTTTCATTTTTATTAAAGTTAATTTTTATATAAATAACATTTTCCATCTATATTTAAAATTTTATTGTCTTTATGCAAATTTAGTTGCAATTTATAAATAAAAATATATATTAAAATACTAAGAAGCAAAGTGGGAATTTTTAGACTTTAACAATTTATTGACAACTAAAAATAGTTTTTTTAGGTACTTTAAGAAACACAACTACATTTGTTATTGCTGCATTAATTTATTTACATATAATATTGAATATAAAATTTTCACCATAATTAATTCATTAATTCATTTTCATATAATGTGGAATATAAAATTTTCACTGCCTTCATTACAGCACCACAGATCTTAAAAAATTCATTCACAACAGTACGAAGGGTACAATAACATTAAATAAAAATAGTTGATTAAAAATAAGTATAAAAAAATATATGATGAAAAAAAATTAAAATAAAAAAAGTTATGTATAATAAAATAAATTAAATATAATAAAAGAAAGTCATTAACCTATGTTAACATAGACTTCAGTAAGTTTTTCAAGTTGTTGTTAATGCGATGACTGGGATGTCAAAGACTGCATGAACCGTATATAGTCCCTTGAAGTTCGTTGGGAATGATCCATTAAAAATTAAATGCTTTTTCGGTAATTTGATTTATATATTTATAAATATAAATATTTATATAATTTGTCATCCTGCAGCCCTAACCTAAATCAAGAACTTAGAGAACTTTCGATACTCGATATTGTTGGCAATACTCGTAACAGCTCTATGGTCAACCAAAAATTTAGTTAATTAAAAATAAATAAAAAAATTTTTGTTGTAATTCTATATTAAATATAAAAATTTTTATTAAGTAAGATAAACATTGACGTTAAAATCAAATTTAATGGAGTCAGATTGTTAGGAAATCTTAACACGTATCAGTGAGAGGTTGTTATTATTTTCTTAATATCATAAGGATTTATGTTTAGTGGTAAAATCCTATGAACTTATTGACTGATATATCAAAGATCACATAAACTATATACACATGGATATTTTTGTTAAACTCTAATATTATATGTAGAATATAGGTAATTTTTGAATAAATGTCAATATCTTTTCGAATTTTTAACCGGAAAGTGCATCTAAACAAGAAATTTTGTTTTAACTTGTTCGGATTTGACTAAAGTCATGGTACATTTAAGAGCAAAAATGCCCTTAAGCTGGAAGCATTAATCCTTAAATTACTTTATATCAACTTGGGAGTGGCAACACTGAAAGATTTTATAGGGACTGACATTGCTAAAGTTATTTTTGATGATTGATTTCTGAAATTTGTCCGTAATTTGTTGATAGAAAAGACAGAAAATATAGATAGATTGATATATTGATTGATAGATTGATAAATATATAGATAGATTGATTGATAGATAGATAGTAAATATATATGATAATGGAAATTTTGTTGAAAATCTACTCCACGTAGACGACTAATAACTTTGTATTATGTTTATATACTCTTTATTAGTTAAAAAGATACGGACAACGAGAGAGAGAGTGATAAGTAACTAAATTTTGTCATACTACATCCTTTATTTATTAAGACTATTTTTCCAGAATACTTTATACATTTATACTTTCATACTGTTGTATCTGAGTCAGAGACTTCAAATATTCTAGGATTTATATCTAAGCACATTTTTGTTGCTTTAAATATATTTGTCTTAAGCCTGTGTTTATTTCGTCTTTTATTTCGTAATTTAATAATGCAAGTTCCGGACAATCAGAGACTAAACTACAAAAAAGGCACAGAGGGTCTTGCACAAATTTACTGGTCTCTTCTTTTAATATCGCATTATTATTAGTGAAATATTATTATTAATACACATTATTATATATGGAACATTAATTGTTTTTAATTTCTGTAATTAGAATGGATTATGATATTTTTCAATAAGTAATCAACATAATTTAAATTATTAATGAAACTTATATGTTTTTGTTCTCAGAAAAACCATTTTTTCCATTTTATTTTTAAATTTTTTTTATGAAATAGCAATTAATAATTATAATTAAATTTAAAATCACATGAGTAATAAAAAAAGGAAAATTCTCAAATAATTCTTTTTTTACAAATTAAAAAATAGATTTTATTACTAATTTTTATTAGTTTGTTTATTTATTATGATATAAGATGGAAAAAACACTTTGTTACACTCAAGCTCACTTGCTAAATAGTTTATTTATTTAATTTAATCAAAAAAAAAAAATTAAAATAGGTAAACCCAATAAGACTAAGACAAAATCAAAATTGACGTCATTAGTTATGGGTGTATGCAAATAATTTTTTATTATTACAAGCCAGTTTGTTTATACCTACTTACTTCATTATTAAATTACTTAATTTTAACTTTAAAGCAGTACAGGTTTTGCCATTTATATTCTAATTATAATTTTTATGTTCTGACCCACTTTTTATACATATGTATACATATACCTGACATCGTATAAAAGTCAAGCCAATTGACTTGATCTAGTTAAGTCCGTTCTACATAAAATGTATTAAAACTTTTCGTAATAATTTTATTTCAATTTAATTGTATACCTTAATTACGTGATTAGTTAGTTTTTTATTTAGCATAAAACGTCTTTATTTGCAATTCATATTTGTGTTATGGCAAACGTTAAAGATTTTCAAATAAATTTTTATATAAATAAATTGTTAAATAAAATAATTTACACAACTGTTCGGAAAGTTTCATTGTTTAATTTATTTAAAACAATAGGGATGTTGATATATATACGATATTTTTATACTAATAAATACATATAATAATAATAACAAAATTTTAATAAATCCATTTGTATCACTGCCATGGGGTATTATTTTCAAATCTCAAATATATTTTTTATTCAGTTGTATTTATTTAAATATATATTTATTTATTTATTTATTTCATTTTATTTGATTTAAGTTATGTTTCGTATATAAAAGGTTTTGTATTTTAAATAAATTTTTAACTATTTATCTCAAAATCATGAGATATTTATTTTTAGCTACAAATTAATTTTAATTTTTATTTATTTTTTTCTTAAATTTGCTTTAAAGAAAAACTTTCTTATATTATTTATTCAAAATGAATGATTATGATAAATTTTTTTGTTTTGTATAAGATATGTTTTTAATCATTCATAAAATGCTAAATATCACAAGTGCACTTTCTACCACTTGAAATGGCTTAATCATGAATAAAAATTATATGGTATATGTTTTTACTTTCTTTTGCAGAAATTAATTATTAAACATATATGAACTCAATGACTTCGCATAAACCTTACAGTAATTCTACTTCATTTGTGATTAAGCACAATTATTTACTTAATTATATGCGATTGATATTGACTTCATTAAAAAATCATTATTGCATATTGAATTTTTCTATATATATAAAGGAAACTTGATTATATTTTTATGTATTACATACAATTTATAATACGAGGGCGGTTTGATAAGTCATTGACTTCCGTGCAGTTTTCCCGTGCAGTTACTCCAAATGCAACAGTGCTTCCGTCAGCTGTAATCTACCAGTGGTCAACTTTCTAATTTTGAGCAAGTTACGTCGTTCAGTTGGTGTTGGATAGCCTTTTAAAGTAGACGACCTCGTGAATTTTTACGAAAATGGAAAAAAGTGAATTTCGTGTGCTGATTAAGCATTAGTGGCCAAAATCCACGAATTGAAATACGAACTGCCACCCCAACCAACATATTCTTCAGATTTAGCCCCCTGCGACTATTTTCTGTTTCCAAACCTAAAGAAATGGCTGGGCGGTAAGAGATTTGAGTCAAATGAAGATGTCATTACCGAAACAAACACGTATTTTGAGAGCTTTGAAAAAACTATTATTTGGAGGGAATAAGAAAATTAGAAAAGCACTGGATTATGTAAAAAAATAAAATATTTATTTGCCGAAAAAAATTTTTTTTATTCAAAAAGTCACTGACTTATCAAACCGCCCTCGTAGATACAGTATCAATATAAATAATTAATTAATATAAATAACCTTAACTGAACACAGATATTTTATTTTTATGCATTTTTATAATAAATTTCATATGTATTTATAATTGACAATTAATCTTCTGAACTCTATCCTGGGAATATAATTTTTATAATAGCCTCCTAAAATGTAATGAGAAACGTTACTGCGTCAAGTAGTAACGTAATATACAAATATTGTTTAGTACAGAGTTGTATGAGATTAGTTATTAATCCTTATTATGATTCAGTAAAAATAAACTTAATAAAATTAAGTTATTAAAAGAAACTGGTAATAAAAAA